AACACAGCCAGCAGATTGGACATTCCAGGGCTGGCTAGGGGAGTGGAAGTGTTATGATGTGGTGTGAGGAGGACCAAGCCACACATGCCATGCAGACAGTGCTCACCTGGAGAGTTTTACTGGGAAGAAGGGGGGAGAGAGAAAAGGAGAACAGAGAGGCCTCATGGGAAGAAGAGAGAGAGAGAGAGAGAGAGAGAGAGAGAGAGAGAGAGAGAGAGAGAGAGGAGAAAGAGAGGAGGAAGGAAGAGGAGGAGGAAGAGGAGGAGGAGGAGAGAAAATAGCAAGAGGTAATGAGAGACGAGAATGAGATTGCAAGAGTAGTTGTGCTATAAGAAGGATGGGTAGCTGGGGGAAGGATGCCTGGGAGCTGGAGAGAGTTTAGATCAGAGGAGGAGAAGGGCGGAAGGGCGGGACACTATGGATTTTGCAATGTATAACGGAGCTTGTGATGCTGAGTGAGCCTGGAGGGCAGCACGGGCTTTGATAAGCTGATAGGTGCCACAGGGAGCCCGAAGTCCCTTCTGCCACGGGTAAGGGAAATGACTCCTCATGGCAGATGGGAACCAGTTTCACAGGTTGCTGAGGAATGCTGGCTTTTATCTAACCTCCAGAAATACTTCTATAGTCCAGATTGAGCTCATTTCTGAATATTTGGACTGCCTGGCCTAGCAAAAACAACTTTATTCCCTCCCCCCTTTTTTTTCTTTTTAAAGGCAGGGTTTTGCTATGTATCTTATGCTGGCTTTGAACTCACTGTACAGTCCAGGCTGGCTCACTCCACATTTCCAGCAATCCTGCTCCAGCCTTCTGAATGCTTGGATTACAAGTGTGAGTTACAACACCAGGCAAAAGTAATTTTTCTGGAAGGGCATGTTAGCTCACACCTGTACTCTAGCACTCAGAAAGCAGAGATAGGAGGGTCCCCCAGAGTTTGTGGCTGTCCTGGTCTATATATCGAGTACTGGGCCAGTGAGGCTTACAGAGTGAAATCCTATTTTAAGGAGGAAAAAGTGTAGCCAGTCGTGGTGGTGCATGCCTTTAGTCCCAGCACTCGGGAGGCAGAGGCAGGCAGATCTCTGTGAGTTTGAGACCAGCCTGGTCTACAAGAGCTAGTTCCAGGACAGCCTCCAAAGCCACAGAGAAACCCTGTCTCAAAAACAAAAACAAAAACAAAACAAAAATGGCACAATCAAAATTTGTTTTCCAAAGAAAGGGCCTGTTATAGATTTTTTTTTCCTTTTAGTAGATTACTGTTTCATTTGATCCAAGTAGCACAACTCAGGACTAGCTAGGGGGAAGGAAGAGTGAGGTGTGAATCTATTAATTAGTGTTAAATTTGGTCCTTTAAAATAAATAGAACAGCAGCATATACAATCTTATACAAAGCTAGCCCCACTTTGACTTCCAGAAAGATCAATCATTTCTTTTTCATGTGTTTTCTTCCCAAATCCCTCCATCCTTCCCATCTGCTGTACCCTACCACTCCTGAGCGGGGAACCCAAACTAGAAAGATCCTGTTCTTCTCCCAGGTGTAACATAAATCTGAAGAGGCAATGTGGAGAAACAGTTGCTAAGACTGACTATGGCTTTGTATTTTGAGACTGAGTTGTAATATGTAGCCCTGGCTGATCTAGCACCTCTGTGAAGTCCAGGCTGACCCAAAACCTGAAGCAATCCTGCTGCTTCGGCCCCTTGAGTGTGGGAATGTAAGAATGCAACGAATTGCCCAGATAATGAAAGTTTCTTATAACATTTTCTAAAATAAAGAAGCCATACCCAAAATGATCACTCCCTCCTCGAGAACTTTCAGTTGCTAAAACGTAACTTCTTAACTTCCTTTAGTGGTTTCTCCCATATATATATTGTTTGTTTGTTTGTTTGGTTTTCCGAGACAAAGTTTCTCTGTGGCTTTGGAGGCTATCCTGGAACTCACTCTGTAGACCAGGCTGTCCTCGAACTCACAGAGATCTGCCTGCCTCTGCCTCCCGAGTGCTGGGATTAAAGGCATGCGCCACCAACGCCCGGCTTCTCCCATATTTTCAAGCTTATGAGAGGTGATACCAAACTCAGAACTACTGGAATTGTCCCCAGTAAAAATACCACTAAGAAGGCAACATAGGCAGTCTCTCACCTTTGAGACATCCATCCGAGGCCAGGCTTGTCTGTTGCTGGGACAGTCTCCTACTCAAGCACAGCTTTTGGCAACCTTCGCTCTTTTTATCAGCCCCTCTAAGGAAAGCAGAGGGCTTTGTTTGCCCTGTCCCTTCTGACTTGCACCCTCAATGCAGAAGGTTCATGAATACTTCAACTAGAACAGAATCAAGTTTCAGACACTCCTGGGCAAGTAGGAAAATGATCCACTACATTGAATTGGAGCCCTGATCAGCAAAGAGTTATTTCTGAAACTCCACCAGGACTGCACAGCAGTGGGGGCTTGAATAAGAATGGCCCCCATAGGCTCACATATTTGCATGATTGGTCCTCGGTTGATGGGCTGTCAGAGGAGAAACAGGAGGTGTATCATTGTGGAGCCCTGTCTCTGGGAGTGGGCTTTGAGGTTTCAAAGGCCCAGGCTAGGCTCAGTGTCCAGTTGTGTCCCTCCCCTGTCCCCCCCCCAACCCTTTTATCTCTGCCTGTGAATCAGGATTTCTCAGCAGTTCCTCTAGCACCAAGACTGTCATGCTTGCCACCACCACGACAATACTGGACTAAACCTCTGAACTGCAAGCCAGCCCCGATTAAATGCTCTCCTTTATAAGAGTTGTGGTGGCCACAGCGTCTCTTCACAGTGGTAGGACCTTGACTGAGACAAGGCCAAGGTTAACAGTGCAGGTAATGCCTCCTGGGAGGACCCATGCTTGATAGAGGATGAGCAGCGACAGCCCTGTGGTCTACACAGTGGGTCTATGAATTAGCCTCCCTGGGAATTTGTTAATTCCTAGCTTTAATGAAGAGGAATTACCTAAGGGGTGTTGGCGGCTGGGATTTTCCTTTCTTTTAACATTTATTTATTTATTTGAGTCAGGGTTTCACCACGTGGCTCTGGCTGGCCTGGAATTCCATATGTAGACCGGGACGGCCTGGAACTCACAGAGATCCACCTACCTCTGCCTCCCAAGAGCAAGGATTGAGAAGTCATGTGCCACCACTCTTTGCCTAAAATTTATTTAATTTTTATTTATTCATTTACTTTTTTTGAGGCAGAGGCTCATGTAGCACAGGCTGGACTCACACTTTTATGTGGTAGAGTCTGGCCTTGAACATCTGACCTTCTTCCTATGCCTCCCAAGTACAGGGCTATGGGGCTCGTACACTTGGCAACCGGGGTTCTTTTTCTTTTTCTTTTCTTTTCTTTTTTTTTTTTTTTTGAAATGGGTTTCTTTGTGTAACAGTCCTGGGTGTCTTGGAACAACTCACCCTGAAGACCAGGCTGGCCTCAAACTCACAGAGATCCACTTGCCTCTGCCTCCTGAGTGCTGGGATTAAAGACCACTACACTTGGCTGTATCTCTCTCTCCCTCTCTCTCTTTCTCTCTCTCTTTCTGTTTTTAAATTTTTTTAGAGATAAGGTTTCTCTGTGTAGACCTGCCTGTCCTGGAACTCTCTCTGTAGACCAGGCTGCCCTTGAACTCACAGAGATCCGCCTGCCTCTGCCTCCCCAGTGCTGGGAATAAAGGCGTGTGCCGCCGCCACCACCACCTGGCATTAAGAAATGTAGTCCTTGTCAATCTGACACATGTATGTAATATATTTTGACAATATTTATGAGCCATCCCACTCTCTGCCTTTGCAACCCTTCTTTCTGACATACCCCTTCCTGGTTTTTTTTTTTTTTTTTTCTTCGAGACAGGGTTTCTCTGTATTGTTTTGGAGGCTGTCCTGGAACTTGCTCTGTAGACTTGGCTGGCCTCGAACTCACAGAGATCCGCCTGCCTCTGCCTCCCGAGTGCTGGGATTAAAGGCGTGTGCCACCAACGCCCGGCACCTGATTTTGTTTTTTAAGACAAGATCTGTAGCCCTGTATGGCTTGGAACTCTTTTTATGTAGTTAAGATTGGCAGAGAACTCCTGAACCTGCTGACTGCACCTCCCAATGCTGAATTTACATGCTGTGCCGTGCTGGTCTATTTGCAACCAACTAGTTTCTTAGTTTTTAAATTATTTTTAATGTATGCGTGCGGGGTTTTTTTCCGGCGTGTGTCTGTTTACCTCTTGCATGAGCCAGAAGAGGGCACTGGGTCTCCTGGACCTGGAGTTACAGAAGGTTGTGAGCTGACATGTCAGTTCTGAGAATTGAACCTGAGTCCTCTGAAACAGCAGCCAGTGCTCCTAACAGGTAAGTGTTAGTTAGGGTCCTTGAGACATCCCATGAAAGACCACCAGTCAGGTATGCAATCAGCAAGAGTGTTTATTAATATTACCAACATGTTGGGGTGGCTCCTTTTAAGCAGGGTTAGGGGAATTCCAGAGAGGAGAGATTGGATGATGTGTGGCTTAAACAAAAAGTCCATAGGATTGGTAGGTGGCTCTAGTGGTTAGGGATTTTACAGCAGCAGGGTAGGGAATCTGTCTTCAGCTAGCAGAAGACTGTGGGGTCCCTGCTGATTGGTTGCTCCTGCGTTGCAGTTTTCCTGAGAACTGCTTGCTCAGCTGCAGCCAGCAACCAAAACTAAGTAAACCAAACTAAGGCCTGCTCCCTGGCAGAGCCTTTTAGAAACCTGCCATGGAGCTAGTCTGGCTCCACAGCCCTCTCAGTAAGCTCTCTCTCTAATTTCTTAATTTTTATCTCTGCTTGCTGTGTAGTAATTTCTGATATAAACCGTTCTGAAATCTTGAACAAAAGCTCCTTAACATATATGATGTTATAAAGCAAAGTGACGTTCTGTCCTGTAGGGAACTTCCTTAAAACTCAAGAAGTCAACAACTCAAAAGCTTCAGGAAGTCCTTGAAACTGATGAGATACATCTGGTCCCTCCTTCCTCAAACTTTCGTGTAGAAAGGACTACTGAGAGGAAGCCTCAAGCTGAGTTGCCTAGAACATGCTCCGGCTACTATTCAAGCTTCCTGGAAAGGCAGAAACCAGCTGAGTGGCCTGGAAGAGACACTCTCCAGCTTGTCCAGTCACCTGCAAGTTGTGAGTCACAGGTTTCTAGCTTATGTGAGCTATCACTTATGCTGAGGTATGCTTTTGGAGAAGCAGCTGTCTTTGAGTCATTTCTGTTCCTTTAAGTAACCCCTCATTCATGGGCCTGTTAATGATCCCAGTAAAGGTTTACTACATTGGGCTTTGGTGGTATCCTTACTTTGGTCCATCATTGGTTCGCTATCTGGGATGAGAAGACAACCCTACAAAACTGGAAAACCTGATTTTATAGCTTTTTTTTTTTTTTTTTGGCATGATAAGGCGTGCTTTATCGGCTACCAGGTAACTGTGAGTAGTTAGAGCTAACAGGAACGTACAAGCACGGACAGGTTATTATTGTTGTTGTTGTCTTGTGGAGGCAGGGTCTCATTGTATAGCTCTTGGCTGGCCTAGAACTGATTATTAGATCAAACTGGCCTTGAAGTTAGGATTAAAGGCATGAGCCACTATGACGGACAAATCACAGCCAGTCTGTAGCTGAAAACAGCTTTCTGGAGTTTGTCGTGTTCTAAGTGAAATAACTCAGAGTAACCTCAAAAATTGAATCCTGCAGCTTAAGAGGAAGCAGAAGTTGGGCTCCATTGTTGGGCTAAGTGCTGGAAAGTATTTCCTCATTGTGTTGTAACATTTGAATATCCTTTGAAGTGTTCTCAGTAATGTGTTAGTCATTTTTTTCCCTGATGAATAGTGAAAATTATCATGCATTAGAAAATAAACTCTAGATGGTCAAGGCATTTATATCAGTTTGGTCTTCTACAAAATCTTTAGAAATCTATCTGTCTGTCTATCTATCTACCTTAGGTATGTATATGCCTGAGTGTATGTGTGTGCATCACATGTGTTCAGTGTTTTGGGGATCAAAAAAGAGGGCATCCGATCTGGAACTGGAATTACAGACAGTTGTAAGGCACCATGTGGATTCTGGGATCAGATCCTGGGTGCTCTTAGCCACTGAGTCTATCTCTCTAGCCCCCTCTGAGAAAATATTCATGATCTTTCTGACAATAGAAATTGTGGCTTTGGAGTTGAAGAGACGGATCAGAGGTGAAGCCTGCAAACTCCCGCTCTCCAGAATTCTGAGAGGATCCATTTCTGTCCCTTTATACAACCCACTAAGGGAATTGTGACAATCACAGGAAACTTACAGATAATGCTGACTACCATCATGTGGACACATAACAAACACATACAGACAGAACACATACATACAACAGGTTGTCCACAGGTGAATGCAAACACCATGCCATTTTGCATAAGAGACTTGAGTATACATAGATTTTGTTATCCGTATATACTGAGGATAACTACTGAACTATTGTCTATAGTTGTTAGTTGTTTTTTGTAACTATTTGTTCTCTTTTGTAATTATTTGCTTCCAAATGAATGCATGGAGAATTACTCTTACTTATGAGTGCCTTAAACACAAGGCAAACATTTACCATGGGTCTACATCGCCCGCAGTAGACAGTGCTTCCTGTAAGCACAAAGGCAAACACTTTTAGCTGAAAAAGAGAGAGGGGCTGAAGAGACAGCATTGGTGTAAGGAGTGCTTGTTGCTCTTAGAGAGGACCCAGGTTTGGTTCCTAGTGTCCACATGGTAGCTCACCTCCTAATCCTTCCCTAAACAATGTAATAACTAGGGACCAAGCACTTAAATATGTGAGTTTATGTGGGCCATTCCCATTCAAGCTGCTACATGTGGCTTCTGGGGATGCAAATCAGGCTTTCATTGTGGAACAAGTGCTTTCACTCACTAACCCATTTCTGTAGCCTCTCCCTCCCCCCACCAGCTGAGGACCAAACCCAGGGCCATGCACTCTACTACTAGGCAAACACCCTCCTACTGAGCTAAATCTCCAACCCAGTCTACCATCTTTTTAAAGAAATTATTTTACTTTTGTTTTGTTTTTCGAGACAGAGACAGGTCTTCTCTGTATTGTTTTGGAGGCTGTCCTAGAACTCGATCTGTAGACCAGGCTGGCCTCGGACTCACAGATATCCACCTGCCTCTGCCTCCTGAGTGCTGGGATTAAAGGCTGTGCCACCAACGCCTGGCAATCTGGTGTCCTCTTATGGCCTGCAGGTGTACATGCAGCTAGAACACTACATAAAAAATAAATCTTTAAAAAATACATTAAAGAGCCGGGCGTTGGTGACACACACCTTTAATCCCAGCACTCGGAGGCAGAGACAGGCGGATCACTGTGAGTTGGAGTCCAGCCTGGTCTACCGAGTGAGTTCCAGGACAGTCTCCAAAACAATACAGAGAAACCCTGTCTCAAAAAACAAACAAGCAAACAAACAAAAATACATTAAAGAAAATTACAGGTATCCCTGACTCGACCTGCCTCCCTACCCCCTGCCTCCCCTTCCCAAGTGTTGGGTTTACATACATGCACCGTCATACTGCTTGGTTTTATGAAGCACAGGGATGGAACCAAGGATTCCTATATACCAGGCAAGCACTCTACCAACTGAGCTACACTTCCAGCTAAATACTGTATCTTGAACATGATTCTATGTCAGTAGAAAATGTGTCCTCGTGGAATTTTTTTATGCATGCATGTACGTATTTGTGTGAGTGTACATTCAGGTGTGTGTGTATGTGTGTCAGAGTGTGCATGCACACTTTTGCATGTACTACAGTGTAGGCCAGAAGACAACCTCTGGTATTACTGTCAGATCATTACCCACCTCCTTTAAGGGAGAGTCTCTCACTGCCTGATCTCATCAACTAGGCTAAGCTGGCTGGCAAGCAAGCTGCCATCTTCCCAGCCATGGGCTACATAGATAGGCCTGGTCTCTTTCTAATCTTGGGTTCTGGCACCTGAACTCGGGTTCTCATGCTTGTGGGGAGACTGAGCCATTTCACCGGCTTCCACTGGTTTGTTTTGCCAAGCCAATTGAGGAGATTGAGCCAGGGCCTCCCTTTTACCCAGCAAGCACCGCACCAACTAAACCATAGCTCTATCAGCTTTTGCTGTTTTTCTTAAAACAGATGGATAGCATGTCATTGTTTGTGTAAGTCTTGAAATTACAAATTTCTGGAAACAGAAATCTACATTGTTTCCAAATCTTCCCCCGTCTCTTTTCCTCTTCCTTCTCTTTCTTTTCTTCCTTCCTTCCCTTGCTTTTTTCAGTTCCTTGAGAGGGTCTCACGTAACTGGTCTTAAACGTCTGATCCTTTTTCTCCCCCATCTCCAGGCTGGCCTCAAACTCAATAGGGAATCACAAAGCTAATGTTGAGCCACATATCTTCCTGTCTTCATCTCCAAAGTGCTGATATGAGGTGCGTTGGCCATTGGGCTCCACTTTGCCCCACTGTCCTTTAAAGAAAGACACAACTGCCCTTGCATAGGACCTGGGTTTGGTTCCCAGAACAAACACAGCAGCTTGAAACCCTCTATGACTCGACTTTCAGGGGGTCTGACCCCTCTCTGGTCCCCACAGGCACTGCACATGTGATGCACAGACATGTGATTTCCATCTGGAGGCCAGCTTCCTTCATCTCTGCATGTGGCCTGTGTGAGGCCAGGGTAAGGGCGCCTGCTTGAATTTCACCATCTGTAAAAAAAACTGTTCTTTTGCAATGCCTAATGCTAGAGCAGTGGGAGAAAGACACTAACTAGTTCTGTACTGGAAGTGCTTGCATTCAAAGATGAGTAGGCAGAAAGAAGTGAAGCAAGAGGAACCCCCCTCCCCGCAATAATAAATAAAAAAAGGGAAGGAAACCCAGGAGATATCTGAGATACCTGAACCAAACCATGAAGAAGAGCCAAAGCCTGAGTAAACAGAGGAGAAACAAATCAAAGGAAACTTGTAAGGAAAGACTAATTGAAGATCTTCAAGGGCTTAGAGAGGACACACAGCATGCATGAAGCAGTGCGGCTCTGCTGAGAGAAGCAGATGAGACATGACGCAAGGAGCACGAGACAGTGACTTCTGGGAAGGCTAACTGGGACCATTCTTACCCCGACATAATGGAGTTTGCCATGATTTCTGTTTTATCTGATGTTACCATGGCAACATTGCTGGTTTTATTAGCATTTTCTTCACATACTTTAACCTGTCTGCCTACTTTGAATCTGTTACTGTTAATGGATTTACACATATCTCTTCTTCTTCTTCTTCTTTTTTTGAGACAGGGTTTCTTGGGGCTTTGGAGGCTGTCCTGGAACTAGTTCTTGTAGACCAGGCTGGTCTCAAACTCACAGAGATCCTCCTGCATCTGCCTCCCAGGTCAAGACCTGGTCAAATCCAAGTTTTACAGAAAACAGGAATGAACTTATTTTGACCTTGTAACAAGACCTCTTTTAACTTAAGATGGAGTCAGGCAGGTCCATCATAGGTAAAACACACACACACACACACACACAAATAAATAATATGAAAATAAAATTCATAATACACTTTTTTTTTGTTTTTTCGAAACAGGGTCTCACTGTGTAGGTCTGGCTGTCCTAGAACTCACTCTGTAGACCAGGCTGGCCTCGGGCTAACAGAGATCCACTTGCCTCTGCTTCCCAATGGCCAGCATTAAAAATACCTTTAAAAAATAAAAGTATATATATATACACTCTCACACACATACACATATGGAGAGAGATGCAGAGAGAGAGGAGAGAGAGAGAGAGAGAGAGAGAGAGAGAGAGAGAGAGAGAGAGAGAGAGAGAGAGAGAGAGAGAGAGAGAGAGCGAGTGCAGGCAAGGGAGGGATCAGGCAGTATATACACCTTTAATCCCAGCGTTTGGGAGGCAGAGGTAGGTGGTCTAAAGAGTGAGTTCTAGGACAACCAGGGCTATACAGAGAAACCCTGTCTCCAAAAACCAAATTCAAACAAAAACAAAAAAAAATGTGAATGTGAACAACAATAAACAGACCACTGTAAAACAGACCTGACAAACCCTGCTCAGCCTAACCAGTGCCTTCCTCGCAAATCGCCTGCTCGACGCATGCGCAATCTTCTTAGTTTAAACCCACAGCCCTTATCCCGCCGCCGCGCTAGGCTATGAAATTTGACCCTTTCGGGCTACCGTTGTGCGGGGGCCGGAAGGGCGCTCCACATTGCTTCCGGGCCTTCCTTTTGCTTTTTCCTTGGCTCCCTCACGCTGCTTCCCCACCCCCGCTATCGCTCCGGTTGTTTTTTGTGTTTGTCGGCGAGGCCGAGCCCTGGAGTCGAAATCTGGGGTCCGCGTGGAGAGACACAGCCCTTGCGGTTGGGAGCCCGCGTCGTGAGGAGGCCTGACCGAGGTAGGCTGAGGCCCAGGTGGACCCGGGATGGTTTTCTTGGCGGAGAGCGGAGAAGGTCGGAGGCGGGGCCGAGCGGGCCCGAGGCGGAGGCGGCCGCGGGTGGGCGTGAGGCCCGGGAGGCGCGGGGGCTGCGCGGGGGCTGCCGCGTCCCTCGGCGGCCCAGACCCGGGCGCGCGTTATCCGAGTGTGGGTGTCGGCGGTCGCCTCCGCTGCCAGCTTCGCCGTCTTCCCGTAGGAAAGACCCGGTGTTTCTGCCTTGTCCTTTCTTCCCGCTGCGCACAGACTCCGGGCCTGGGCAGCTGGGGACCCTTCCCCTGGGCAGCTATCCCCCTGCCTGGGCGTAGCAGTTTCCTTCCACGGGGAAGCAAAGTAAGGTGACGAGAGAAAAGAACCCAAGGTGGAATTAGTTAGTCTCGGATCAGCCGTCTCCAGGTGGACGCGGTCCTTCAGATTAGACACGGCGTGGAGACAAGTTCTTAGTGGTAAAGAGGGAGCACGCTAGCTCACAGAAATACCTTCCTTTGTGGATAAGCACGCTTCCGTTTTGTGAAACGTTGTTTTGGGTCCGGGTGGCTCCCTGTTGCAGAGCGGTGATCTGCAAGCTCTCTAAGCTGTTAGTTCTTACTCAGGCCGGTTGGTCCGTGTGAGAAGGTGAGTTTCTCCCGAAAATCTCCGGGTCACACTGGTGAAGGAGGAGGGCGAACAGACGGCGGGGAAGCGCTCGCAGGACAGGAGTGCGCTTTGCGCCGAGGCTGAAACTGTCTGTGTGTGGAGGTGAGAGTCGTTCTGGTTCCTCGTTCTGCACAGGGCACAAGCATGTCCTCCCTCCCCGGGTGCATTAGTTTGGGCGCAGCAACAGCTGCGGCCGACTCTGAAGACATCACTGAGCTGCAGCAGGCGGTGGTTGAAGAGCTGGGCATCTCGATGGAGGAACTTCGTCAGTTCATCGACGAAGAGCTGGAGAAGATGGACTGTATACAGCAGCGCAAGAAGCAGCTCGCAGAGCTGGAGACCTGGGTGCTCCAGAAGGAGTCTGAGGTGGCATATGTGGACCAGCTCCTCGATGATGCGTCCAGGTGAGCTCTCTGTAACTTCAACTCTAGGACACCAGAGTCAGTCTTCTGGGCTCTGCAGGACCTGAATAGAGATGCCATTCTCCCATCTTTTTTGTTTTTAAATTCAGAAGTTCAAAAAAAAATCAGAAGTTCAGGTTTAATTTGAGGAAAGCATTCCTGGGTGGTTCCAGAGGAAGTAAAGAAAACAACAATCGAATACCATGAAGCGGGGGCTTTAAATGTCCTCTGGGGATGGGACTGCTGATGGCTGGCTTTCTCAGGGGTGGGATCTGGAATGAGAAGAGCAGGGCTGGGCGGAGCTTCCCAACATCCCAACCTTTTTGGGTGTGTGAGTGTGTGGTGTGTGTGAGTGAGTGTGTGTGGTGTGTGTGTGTGTATGTATCAATGTGCATGTGTGTGAGGTGTGTATGTTTGTGTGTATGTATGTGAGTGTGTGTGTATGAATGTGCATGTGTGTGAGGTGTGTATGTTTGTGTGTATGTATGTGAGTGTGTATGTATGTGCATGTGTGTGAGGTGTGTATGTTTGTGTGTATGTATGTGTGTGTATGTATGCGTATGTGTGTGTATGAGTGTGTGGTGTGTGTGTATGTATGTCAGTGTGTGGTGTGTGTATGTGTGAGTGTATGTGTGTGTGTGTGTGGTGTGTGTATGTTTGTGTGTGCATGTGTGTGGGGGTGTTCGTGCTTCTCCCTGTTGACAAGGGATGACATGAGAAGAGGGGAGTGAGGGGTTGGTGGGCTCATGTGCAGCAGGAGGTGTGGGTGAACAAGCATTCCGTTAGCTTCCGTCCTGGAGACCTCAGGCCTCAGTTCTTTGAGGGAGCTGAGAAGGCAGGTTGCTTGAGAATGGGTGGGGGCAAAGTGGTCTCTGGAGACTGATAGTTTTCACCAGGCTAGATTTCTTGATATAGAAGCAGAATTTTTCCCAGGAACTTGCAGGTATATGTTTTGGCAAGATGGGACGACCTATTTCCTCATTGTCCTGTCGTCCAGTTCAGGTAGGGTGTTTTTGCTGTGTGGCAGTCAGTGTTTGTCACATCCAAAGCCTCTAGGTAGAAGTTGTTCTGCAGCCATCATCTTCCTGGAGAAGGTAGAGGGTGCTGCAGGAGCTGGCCTGTCTCTCTAACATAAGTTTTTTTTAAATTCCATACTTTCAGATCTCAGACTGAAATGCGATCCTGGCTCCACTAAACTTCAAACTGTTGCCTCTCCTCAGCATGGCTAGAAAATCCTGAGACTTCAAAGTCCTCCTTTCCTCAGTGTGGCTGGAGAAGGAATGCCTGATACTCAAGGTGCCATTCTTGTACACAGATACAATTTAAAAATAGGGTGCTGGAGAGATGGTGCAATTGTTAAGAGCACCGGCTGCTCTTCTGAGGAACCGGGTCTAATTCCCAACACCCACATGGTAGCTCACAACTGCCTGACACCCTTGTACAGACATACATTCAGGCAAAAATGTCAATGCACATAAAATAAATAAATTAAAAAAATAGTCTTTGAAAAGATTTACAGTCTCAGCCAGGCAGTGGTGGTACATGCCTTTAGTCTCAGCACTTGGGAGGCAGAGGCAAGCGGATCTCTGTGAGTTTGAGGCCAGCCTGGTCTACAGAGCTACATAGAGAAACCCTGTCTCGGGAAAACAAAAAATATAAAAAAAATTATAGTCTCGTATGTATGTATGTATACATACGCACATATGTATTCATGCATATACATGTATACTCACACACACATACACATGAATTTAAGGCACTATAGAAGTTTTGCATTAGATAGAGTGCTTGCCTAATATGCAGGAAGCCCTGGGTTCAGTTCCAGCAATGTACCAGCAGTGTGTGGTGATACATGCTTACAATCTCAGCCCTCAGAGATAAAGGTAGAAAGCTCATGAACATCTCCATTTTCATATTACGTTTGAGGCCAACCTGGATTATATATGACCCTTTCTTTAAGAAATTATTAGGAATTTGAAAATGGCAGTTTGTTTTGGCCTGATCCTAACTTTGGTTTAACCATCTATGAATTCCTCATGAATTAAACTCTGTGCATTATTATCTTCTCATAGTTATTACCAGAATGCAGAAAAAAGGGGAGGAGCTGAGGAGATAGTTCATTGGGTAAGCTTGCTTCGTTTGTAACCTTGAGGAACCTGAGTGTACATCCCTGGAACTCAAGTAAAAATATAGCTGAACATGGCTGTGTATGTGATCCTGGCACTTGTTGAATAGAAGTTGATCACAACAAACTCAGTGGCCAACTAGCCACTGAGTGGCAAATTTCCCTTTCAGTGATAGGCCCTGTGTGAAGGCAGTGAGTTGGAGAGCAATAGAGGAAGACACCTGATGTCACTTTGGTGGTTGCATGCTTGGGGCTATCATGCTTACTGTTACTTGCATTCCATATATAGTACACATCAAAAACAAAGAATGCAAAAGAAAAATTACCAAGAGCTAGCTGTATACACTGTTTCATGATAATAAAATTCAGCTGAGTTTATCCCGGAGAGATTAATAAGAATTGCCACCTAAAATTGCCTTCTGAGTCACATTTGTAAAAAACAGTGTCTTGCCACAGGAACCACAAGTTCCCACCTTTTTTTTTTTTTTTTTTTTGAGTTAGTGTCTTTTTTGTTTGTTTGTTTGTTTGCTTTTTTGAGCTAGGGTTTCTCTATTGTTTTGGAGGTTGTCCTGGAACTCGCTCTGTAGACCAGGCTGGCCTCAAACTCACATAGATCTGCCTGCCTCTGCCTCCCTAGTGCTGGAATTAAAGTTGTGCGCCACCAAAGCCCGGCCTCAATCAGCTTTTTATTAACAATGACAGCATCACATCTTCACAGTGTACGGAAGGGTTATTCCACAGCAGGGTCTGTCTAAAACTCTGTAAACACAGAGATCCACCTGTCTCTGCTTCCTGAGTGTTGGGACTAAAGGCGTGTGCTGCCATCATTTTTTAATTTTGTATTTTATGTGTGGTGTGTATGTGTCTGTCTGTCCATCTGTATGTGTCGGTGTGTAAGCATGCTTATGCAATTTCATCTGCTTATTCCCTTGATACTGTCTCCCTAATTGAATCAGAAGCATACTGTTCCAGCTGTGCTGCTAGTTCTGGGAAGTACCCACAGCTCTGGTCTTACTGGCACTCAGAGGTAGAGCTATGGCTGACAGTTTTAGTCACTGTTTTCCTGCTGTGAAGAGACATCATGATCAAGGCATAAAAGAAAGCATTCAATTAGTGCCTTGCTTATAGTTTCAGAGGGTCAGTTCATTGTCATGCTGGAGAGCATGTTGCTATTCTTGGCACTGGAGCTACATTCTGATTAACAGACTGAGTGAGAGATAGAGACAGTACCTGACACACACACACCCGCTGTCCCCCACCAGTGACACAATTCCTTCAACAAGGCCATACCTTCTAATTCTTGTAATCCTTTCAAACAGTTTCCCTCCATGACTAAGCATTCAAATATATGAACCTGTGGGAGCTGTTATTACTAAGATCACCATACTGGTTTTTTAACATGGGTGCTGGAGAGTTGAACTCAGGTAGTCTTGTCTGTCTGTTTGTCTATCTATTTTTGCAGCATTAGGGGTCATTGCTCATGTTAGGCAAGTGCTGTTTCACTGAGTCCCTGGCCTTCTCATTGTGTCCTAACTCCTAATAATCCCTCTCCACCCTCTTCTATTCTACAGCTCCGGGAAGCTATGGCTGCCTTAAGAAAATCAGCTCAAGATGTTCAGAAGTTCATGGATGCTGTCAACAAGAAGAGCAGTTCCCAGGATCTACATAAAGGTTAGTGTTGAGGAGTTGCTACGTAGAGAGAGGTGAGTTCTTTCTGAAATGTTACTGACAATCGGCTTCTGATTGTCAATTTCTTTTAGTACTGTTTTTATGGCCACAGATTGTTCGATGTGGTGACTCAGGCTGTTAACTGTGGTTACTGTTGCTGGTAATAAGGAGTTAGGAATAGTTGGTTGCGGTGGCACATTGCTGGTAGGGTTGCTGAAGGATACCCTTAGGAACATGGGGCTGTTCTGTATTCAGGGTTCTGTTTCTCCTGTTAGCATAAACAATGAAGTTGTCTTGTGTTTCTGCCTTTGTCCAAGAGTTCAGCGGAAGTGGCTAGCGGTCACAGAGTACCTCAGCTTCCTTCATTTCTGCACTACCTTCTTTGTTTGCTTGGATAGTGTCCTCTATATCCCAGGCTGGCCTTGAGCTTCATATTTTGCTGAGGATGACCTTAAACTTGTGATCCTCCTGCCTGGGATTTTAAGCGATAAATACTATGCCAGGTATATGTAATACATAGATTAAGATTCATGGCTTTGTGCATGCTAGGTAAGCACTTCCCCAGCTGAGCCACACCCATTCCTACCATACTGCCCCCTTGACCTTTCCTTTCTCTAACCTATGGCATCACTCTATACTAACTCTGTGTCTGTAGGAACCTTGAGTCAGATGTCTGGAGAACTGAGCAAAGATGGGGACCTGATGGTCAGCATGCGGATTCTGGGCAAGAAGAGGACTAAGACATGGCACAAAGGCACCCTTATCGCCATCCAGACTGTCGGTATGTGTCAGCTAGAGGAAGGACCAAGGAAGGAAGCCTGTGGGACTCCATTGCTGATTCTCTCCCCAAAGCCTCCCCTTGTGTCTCCTACATTGCGCCCGGGCTTACAGTTGTGTTGTTGTTTGTTTTGCTTTAATATTGTCTGTCTTTTACCCAGGGCTAGGAAAGAAGTACAAAGTGAAATTTGACAACAAAGGAAAGAGTTTGCTGTCTGGCAACCATATTGCCTATGATTACCACCCTCCTGCTGACAAGCTGTTTGTGGGCAGTCGCGTGGTGGCCAAATACAAAGATGGGAATCAGGTCTGGCTTTATGCTGGCATTGTAGCTGAGACCCCCTAACGTCAAGAACAAGCTCAGGTACCTGGACAGGATGGAAGATTGTAGGGAGTGGGGGCTGGGAGCACACTGCCTGCTATTCATACTGTGGTCAGGGTCTCAGTGTCAGCTTTTGTGTCCTCAGTCCTTGTGATCAGAAGCCCTTCCTCTCTTTCCATGTGGTCCCTCCCTCCCTCCCTCCCTCCCTCCCTCCCTCCCCAAGACAACATCTCTATATATGTAACTCAGGCTACAGTCATACTTTTTTTTTTTTTTTTTTTTTTTTGGTTTTTCGAGACAGGGTTTCTCTGTGGCTTTGGAGGCTGTCCTGGAACTCACTTTGTAGACCAGGCTGGCCTCGAACTCACAGAGATCCGCCTGCCTCTGTCTCCTAAGTGCTGGGATTAAAGGCGTGCGCCACCAACGCCCAGCTGACAGTCATACTTTTTTGTTTGTTTCTTGAGACAGGGTTTCTCTGGGTAGTCCTGGTCATCCTGGAGTTTGTGCTGTAGACTATGATGGACCAGAACTCTGATACCCACCTGTCTTGTCACACTTTTTATGTATCCTAGATTGGTCTCAAATTCACAAAACCCTGCCTTTGTCTTGTGAGTGTTTTAATTAGAGATATGCCTGTTCTTTTAGGGAAAGAAATTCTTCATGGAAAGTGGAAGATTAATCAAGATTCACCAATGGTTACTGAATGCTGAGGGAAGAAATGAAGTGGAGACTAAATGGTATCATAGCAGTGTGATGGACTCATATCTTCCTTCCTTCGCCTCCCAAATGCTGGGATTAAAGGTGTGCACCACCATCTCCCGACTTACGTTTTTGTTTTGTTTTTTATATATTGTTTATTTTTAAATTTAAATAGAAACAATGCTGTCAATTCCAGGTCCCTCTCTGTTTCCCTCCTCTCCTCCTGTGCCCTCCCACCAACCCCCCAGTATCCTCTCATTTCCCTAGGGAGGGTGAGGCCCTCCATGGGGGTGTCCATAGTCTGTCATTTCATCCAGGGCAGGGCCTACACCCTCCCCCGAGAGTCCAGGATGACAGTGCATCTCTCATTGTTGGATGGGTACCCAAAATCCATTTGTATACCCAGGATAAATACTGATCTACTACCCAAGGCTCAATAGATTACCTGGGCCTCCTCACTGACACCCACATTCAGAGGCTCTTGATCAGTCCCATGCTGGATTCCCAGCCATCAGCCTGGGATTCAAGAGCTAACCCTTGTCAGGTCAGCTGTTTCTGGAGGTTAAACCAGTCCAGTCTTAATCCCCTTCGGTCATCCGGCTTCCCTCTGTCACTGGATTTCTTGAGTTCAGCTCAGTGCTTAGCCCTGGGAGTCTGCCTCTGCTTCCATCAGATACTGAATGAAGGTTCTGTTCCCCAGACTCTCTGGCCATGGGATTGTAGGCTGGCACTTCCCAGATATAGGTCTAAAATCCATATATGAGAGAGTACATGCCATGTTTCTCTTTTTGTGACTTGGTTATCTCGCTCAGGATGGTTTCTTCTAGTGCCATCCATTTGCCTGCAAATTTCAGGATTCCATTGTTTTCTTCTGCTGAATAGTACTCCATTGTGTAAATGTATCAGATTTTCTCTATCCACTCTTCGGTTGAGGGGCATCTAGGTTGCTTCCAAGTTTTGGCTATTACAAATAATGTTGTTTTGGTTTTTAATACAGTGTAGTGCTGTCTGCTTAGAGCTGCAGCATTCTCAGTGTACTGGAGCACCTGCATCAGTCATTAATCAGGAAAATGCCCTGCAGGTTTGTCTACTGGCCAGTATAATGTGTTGTGCAATCTTTTACTCTTGGCTTTTTTGGGGTGCCCACTACCCAGTTTCCACATGGAGGCTTATTCTCAATTATGAATGCTTGGCCTTAGCTTGGCTTGTTTCTAGCCAGCTCTTCTTAACTTAAATTATCCCGTCTACCTTTTGCCTCTGGTCTTTTTCCTTTTCTTCTGTATATCTTACTTTCACTCTTACTCTGAGGGTATCCTCCTCCCCTTGTTCTCTTGTTGCTTTTTTCCTTGTTTCTCCTCCTGTTTATACTCTCTGCTTGCCAGTCCTGCCCATCCTTGCTCCTGCTTTGCTATTGGCCATTCAGCTCTTTATTAGACCATCAGGTGTTTTAGACAGGCAAAGAATCACAGCTCCACAGAGTTAAACAAATGCAGCATAAACAAAAGTAACACACCTTAAATTAATATTCTACAACAGTAATAGAAGTATTTTTTCTTTCATCCTTTTTCTTTTTTTGTGACAGGGTCATGTGACTCTTGGTAGCCTGGAACTCATTGTATTGACTAGCCTGGCCTAAAACTCATAGAGAGCCACCTACCTTGGCCTCCCAGGTACTGGCATTAAAAGTATGTGCCATACTGCCACGTTAGAGGTGTTGTCTTAACTGACATTTCCTCTTCTCAGATGATCCTCGATTGTTTCAAATGTACAAAATAAATAGCACATTGGAATTTATAATGTAATAGTGGCAAATGCTTTTAATCCCATTATTTGGGCAGGTGGATCTCTGTGAGTTCAAGGCTATCCTGGTCTACAGAGGGAGTTCCAAGACAGCCAAGGCTACACAGAGAAACCTTGTCTCGAAAAACCATAAATAAATAAAAAATAACTAAACAAAATAATTTTAAAAACTCTTGCTATATAACAGGCAGGGTGACTTACATCTATAATGTAGTAGTCAAGAAGCTGTGGAGGATCACTTCAAGTTTGAGGATAGCCTGGGCTACATGGTGATGTCCAGTATATCCTAAGTGACACTGAGATCCTGTTAGCTGAGTGTAGTTGCAATTGCCTGTAATCCCAGCACTTTAATTTGTGCATGCTAGGTAAGGACTCCCCCAGCTGAGCCACATCACCATCCTACCATACCGCCCCCTTGACCTTTCCTTTCTCTAACCTATGACATCACTCTATACCAACTCTGTGTCTGTAGGAACCTTGAGTCAGATGTCTGGAGAACTGAGCAAAGATGGGGACCTGATGGTCAGCATGCGGATTCTGGGCAAGAGGAGGTTCTCAGTAGTTCAGGGTCAGCAGGCTTACCTGTTGAGACCCTGTTTCAGGAAACAAACAAAGGGGCTAAAGACTTGCTGTTTAAGAGTACTTTCTGCTGCTCCCAATGACCTGAGTTCAGTTTCCTGCACCCATATCTGATGGTTCACAACTATCTGTAATACTATCTCCATGGAATCTGACACTTTCTGTCAACTCACCTGCTTGCACTTATGTACACAGACTTAGATGTAGGCATAGATACCTATAATTAAAAAAATAAACATTCACCTAGGGTTTGAGTAACCCTTGGTTACTCAAAAATCCAAGAAAAAAGAAAAAACAAAACTATACAAAATCTAAAATAAACCAACCATTCAACCAAAACAACCTAAGGCAACTAACAGACCAACCAAACCTGAAGTTGACATGTTTGTCCTGTCACTGTACCTCTTATTAGATAATTTATTAAACTTTTATTTACTTATTTAGTGTGAGTGTACATATTGAGGTTATAGCACAGCAGTAGAGTCACTTCTCTCCTTTCCTCTTTAGGTAGCTTTTGGAGGATCCAACTTCAAGTGCCTTTGGCTCTTGAGTCAGCTTGCCAGTTCTTGTTACTTTAGATGCTTTTCAGACTTTGTGTGGGGGGATGCACATGCCATGGTGGTGAAAACTGAGGGCGGTCTGCAGTAGTCGGTTCTCTTTCCTCCTGTAAGTTCAGAGCATTAGAACTTGGGTTGTTAGCCTTTGCTTATGTGCCTCTACCAGTGGAGTCATGTTGGTGGCAAATTCTAGATATTTGGTGAATGAGAGTGTAAGACAACAAGACAATGTGATCCCACATTGGAAGAGAGCAGTAGAACCAGAATTCAAGATCAATGTCTTCTACATGGTAAATTTGAGGTCAGTCTGAGCTACATAAGACCTTGTTTCGTAGGACAAAATTAAACAACTCCCCCCATTCACATATACATGGGAATGAATGTCGTAGGTTTTGAGTGTTAGTTTCTTTGAGTTTGCTTCTCACTACTGGTGTCCTTTGTACTTTGTTTTTTTGTTTTTTGTTTTTGTTTTTGTTTTTTTTTTTTTGAGATAGGGTCTTTCTTTTCTATATAGCCCTGGCTATCCTGGAACTCTCTCTGTAGCTCCACCTGCCTCTGTTCTCTTGAGTGCTGGAATTAAAGGTGTTCACTACTATGCCCTGTTTCAATTGTATTTCTTGATTTGTAAAATTGTAGAATTTTTCTCATGGTTTTGTGAGTATGCAGTCTGTTCTGAATTGCCCAGTTTTATAATTAGACAATAATTCTGTGTGGCTATCACCTTGCCTTTTGTAAAAACTTGCCAGTTTGTCCTTATCATTGACATAGGCGTACTAGTTTCTTTTTGTAGTACAGACTGGACTTTCCCTTCTGAGTGCTGGTATACATGTCTTAATAAAGATATCTTAATTCATTGCCTCCAGTTTTGCCTGTTGACATCTTTAGTACCACAAGTTGATAATCACCAAGTTCCTATTATACTACCAGGTTCAGAGCAAGTTTTAAAAAATTATTTACCAGAGTTTTACTAGGACAAAGGTTCTTAAAGGAAAAGTCTAGAAAGGATTAGTGATCACTATGTGAAATTGACATATTAGAACATATAAAGAGGCTTACATAACTAATCATCTGTAGGGAGTGTATGCGGAAGAGCCCACTGGGAAAGTGAACTTTTTAGTAAAATACTCGTTTTCATTACATTTTACTGCCGTCAACTTGGTCATGAATCTCCGACGCAAATAAGGCAGGATTAGGGAAACAGCTGGTAGGCTTCCTAGCTCTCCGCTCACTGGACTCACTGGCCCAGTCATTAGCCCGGCCCCTATGTCGACTTAATGTTTCTATTGGTCAGTTCTCCCAAGGAGGCTGTCTACAGACTGACCGCGCCCATGGTATGGGGCGTGTCTTTTCCCCGGGGATGGGGGGGCTGGGCAGCCGCCATCTTGGATTCCGCGGTAGCAGTGGCGGCGGTAAGGTGTGGAGTGGCTCTTCCCTCCCCTCCCCCTGCTCGGTGGCGGCTGCCCCTCCCACTGAGGGTGGCGCAGCGACGGTGCCATCTCGTCCATGGCGGCGACTACAGCTAACCCAGGTGAGGAGACAGGAGGGACTGACAAGTGCGGAGAACCGGGGCTGAGCAGCCGGGCCTGGCGGAGGGTGGTGGGGGAGGGGTGCGGGGAGGTGCCTTGCTCGGAGGAGATGTGGAACCGGTGAGGACGTTTGGGGGCTCTGTGCCCCCGACTCTTCGAGTAGCGGAGGTGCTGGGTTGGGCCGCTTCCACTCTGCTGGTGGCGGTCGGGAGTGGTGTGGTCTTCTAACCCTCTGCCCGCTGCTGACGTCCTCTAATGTAAGTAACTGGGCAAAGTGGCTTGGTTTACTGAGCGGAATCTCGACAGTAAACATGGGACCACGCAGATGGTTCATAAGGTCTGGATTCCAGAGTTGGAAAGATTTACATTTAAATATAAAACCTGATTCTATAAGTATCTGCTCAGATTCTTGTGGTTTGTAACTCCCACCGGCCGGCCACCCTCCCTCTCGGGCTATACTTTGAAACTTGGGGTTTACGTTTTTTCAGTGTAGTTGTAGTGTCGGCTGCGGAAGACAAGGTGTGGGTAATGGTTGTATTTCAGGACAGATCTTTGTCCAGAACCCAGGTTTTTATATCTTGGTAGGTCTAGGTGGAGCAATTCCTATTTCTTCTGAAACATGTCCAATGCCATTTGTGGATGTCCTTTCTTTCTTTCTCTCTCTCTTTCTTTCTCCCTTCCTTCCTTCCTTCCTTCCTTCCTTCCTTCCTTCCTTCCTTCCTTTCTTCCTTTCTTTCTTTCTGTTGTTTTATTTTGAGACATGGCCTCAAACCGCTGCTATGTCTTGTCTCAGCTTTCCCACTACTGAAATTGTCAGGCATGAGCCTACATCACACCTGACTGCCAGTTCTCTTTCTACTACATTACAGTTACTTCTTCTGAAGCACTTCATTTTAGTAGATCTGATTTACCTTGCCATTCTCCGTGAATCCCTAACTCCCCAGAAATTGTGCCTTCACAGCCTTTTAGAAAGTAAGGGTTTGGAGCAAAGTGTGTGTGTGCGGTGGTGTTGGTCCCTGCTGTCTGACATTGAAATTTACATTTTATTTCATTTTTGCCTGTGAAAAGCAGTATGGCATTGCAATAACAGATTTGTATACAGTGGTGAATCACTGCAAAATGTATTGTTTCCATTATTTCTGGAAATGACATTTTTTTGTTAGTTTGTTTATTTTGAGACAGGGTCTCTCTACATAGCCCTGGCTGACCTAGAACTTAGTATGTAGGCCAGTCTGGCTTCAGACTCAGGGATCATGTGTCAGTACCAGTTTTTAAAAGAGGATTTTTTAAGTTTTAAAAATTACATGCATAGGAATATTTACACATGCGTGCAGGTGTGGGAGGAGTCCAGAATAAAGTGGTGGATCCCTTGGAGCTGGGGTCACAAGCCACATAGTGTAATATGGGTGCTGAGAACTGACTTCAGGTCCTTTTAGAACAACACACTTCTAACCACTGAACCTTCTCTTTAGCTCCTAAGTATCAGTTTCTTTTTTTTTTTTTTTTTTTTTTTTGGTTTTTCGAGACAGGGTTTCTCTGTGGCTTTGAAGGCTGTCCCGGAACTCGCTCTTGTAGGCCAGGCTGGCCTCGAACTCACAGAGATCCCCCTGCCTCTGCCTCCCAAGTGCTGGGATTAAAGGCGTGCGCCACCAACGCCCGGCCAAGTATCAGTTTCTTTTTTTTTTTTTTTTTTTTTTTTTGGTTTTACGAGACAGGGTTTCTCTGTTTTGGAGGCTGTCGGTCCAGCCTGGCCTTGAACTCACAGAGATCTGCCTGCCTCTGCCTCCCGAGTGCTGGGATTAAAGGCGTGCGCCACCAACGCCCGGCTCAAGTATCAGTTTCTTAATCCTGAATTTTTGTTTTGTTTTGTTTGTTTGTTTGTTTTTGGAGATAGGGTTTCTCTGTGTAGCTTTGGAGGCTGTCCTGGTACTCACTCTGTAGACCAGGCTGGCCTTGAAGTCACAGAGATCCATTTGCTTGTGCCTCCTAAGTGCTGGGATTAAAGACCTGTGCCACCAACACCTGGCTCTATCTTATATCATTTTTTACATTTAAAAAAGGTGAAATAAATTGTCAGGAGTCTATTCTGAATCACAGAATGAAAGTATGCAACTGGAAAATGTTAGGGAGAACCAGACCTGGTTGTAAAGTAGCTGATGTCTGATTTAGAGAATAAACAATATTTCAAACTGATCACACATTGCAAAATCCTTATGTAACTCTTCAGAGTGCAAAGTGTTTCTCTGGCTAAGAAGTGCCACAGATAAACAGATTTTAGTGTGTAAGTCAGGAGCTTTTCCAGCTGTGTGGGTGGAGTTGCCTTATTTGTTCTGCTTTGAAACAAGTCACCAGACGACAGTCCCTTAACCAGATTTTCATTTCCTGATCAATATTAGCCTAAGTCTCTAGCAGGAGATAATAATTTTTTTGTTCAATCATTTTTTTTCCTGAGTAGTGGTATTTGAGAGGTGGTCCTTGAGCTTTCTGTGTAGGTCAGGCTGGTCTTGAACTTGTAATCGTGTTCTTCTGTCTTCCAGTGCGGCATTGCAGGTATCTGTCACTGTATACAAAGTTGAGAAAATTGTTTTAATATGGCAAAGAAACCCTTTTAATGAAATAGTTGTGGGGTTTTTGTTGTTGTTTTGAGGCAGGGTTTCTCTGTGTAGTCCTGGCTGTCCTGGAAGTTGAGCTATTGATGAGGTTGGCCTTGAACTCAGAGATCTGCCTCCCTCGCGCTGGGATTACAGGCATGTGCTGCTACCACCAGGCAGAAAGAATTGATTTTGTTTATTTTCATTTGGTTGCTTTCTTTAATTTTGAGATTGCATGTGTGTGTGTGTGTGTGTGTGTGTGTGTGTGTGTGTGTGTGTGTGTGTGTGCAGGCTAGAAAGATGGAAACTTATGGGGACATGGGAAGGGAAAAGAGCCCATTCACAGTATGACTGATGACATCATTAACGTTTGCTAAGACTTTTCTCCTTTCCAACTGTGAAACTTGAGTTTTCTAGAAGTTTCACCAGAATCTGCCTTTGTAAAACAAAGGCATGTTCTGAACCCCTCATGTATCCTGTGTGGCTCCTGGTGTTGAGTCATCCTAATTGTACTAACCAAAGGAAGACGGAGAACTTCTGAACTCCTTTAATCTTTGTGTAGGGATATCTGAGTTCAAGGCCATGCTGGTCTACAGGTGAGTACAGGCTACATGTAAGACTGTGTCCAAAAAAAAAAAAAAAAAAAGAAAAGAAAAGAAAAGAAAAAGCCAAACAACAAAAAATGGGTTCTTAGCAAACCTTACCTTTGAGATGTAACCTTCAGATACAAGAGTCTTCTAAGACACTTAATTGCTGGTCTCCTTTAGTAAGCCCATACTAATACTTTAGGATGTCTTATCTTTCCTGAGCACCTTTTCTTTTTATTCTTAAACCTTTGTGCTTGAAATCTGTATTGTAATTGCTTATAATAAACTTTAGTTTTGCATCATACTGGCTTGTCCTGAAATTCTTCTGAGTAAAGATTTGCCTGAGTGAAGTTCCCTAAAGGGAAAGGAAGCTCTCCAGGCTGCTGTCAGGGAAAGCATTAGAACACAATCTTTGTTCTTGCTGTAACTGACTTCCCTGTGTAGCCAAGGCTCCTTTAGCCTCTGGAGTGCTAGGGTTATAGGCATGGCATAGAACCACCACACCACACTGAGACTGACCCAAGGCTGTCTTTGTTACCTGTCCTTCCTATCTTTTCCTGGGGCTACATTCCCAGCTGATAAGTCAGAAAACAATGCCTTTTTGTTGCTGTTTTTCCCCCTTTCCCTTTGTCAAGTAGAAGATGTGTTGTGGACTTCTTAGTAACCTATTGAATTTTGGAAAATGAGACTCATGGCTGAAGGGCCATGAAGAGCACATGGAAATGTGCTATTCTCAATGAAAAGAAAGTAAATGGGACTTATGTGAAATTTCCTCCCTCTTACGATCAGGCTAACCTGGAACTCATTACAGAAGCTAGCCTGTCCTCAAACTTACCTTGATTCTTCTGCCTCTGCCTCCTTAGTGCTAAAATTATAGAATTATGGAATTATCATTGCTTATTTCCTTAGATCAATTTTAAAGACCAGGGACATCATTTCTTTGAATTTTTTGCTTTTTTTTCCCCCTCCCCAAAACAGGGTTTCACTGTGTAGTCCTGGCTGTCCTGGAACTCCCCCTGTAGACCAGGCTGGCCTTTAACTCAGAGATCCGCCTGCCTCTGCCTCCCGAGTGCTGGGATTAAAGGTGTGCGCCTCCAATGCCAGCAAGATAAATAATTTTTTAAAAAGTATTATTGTATGTATGTGTGTTGCTCATCCTGTGGTTTGCAGTGTGGAGATTAGAGGACATTTTCCACAATTGATTCTCTTCTGTTCTGCCAGTCCTTGGGAAACTGAGGCATGAAGATTGCCACAGGTGGAGGCCAAACAAATAGCCTTTTCTGTAAGCTTCATTTAAGTTAATATTTAGGGTTGGAAACTTTTTGAGCATGCTAATTTGTGTGCTAGGTGTTGCTATAGAGAAGCTTAATTGTGGACTCTGATGGTTGCAGGAGAGAGCTGACTTTTGTAGCTCCTGTGACCTCACTGGGTGCTGTTTGCACACACATAGTGTCTTTCAAAACTCTGCTCATGATACTTTACTTTCTTTTGACGTTAGGAATTGGACTTGGGGCCCCTCACATGCTATGCAAGTTTCTAACATTAAGTTATATTCCCAGCTTTTCTCTCTCTGTGTGTGTTCACAAACAGGCCTGTGCTTGTCACAGTACGTCTGTCGTTGTAAAAGGACAATCTCCCATTTTCTCACCTTTCATCTTGTTTGACACAGGGTCTCTCTCTCTCTCTCTCTCTCTCTCTCTCTCTCTCTCTCTCTCTCTCTCTCTCTCTCTCTCTATCTCTCTCTCTCTTTTCTTTTTGAGACAGGGTTCCTCTGTGTAACAGTTTTGGCTGTTTGGAACTTGATTTGTAGACCAGGCTGGCCTT